TAATGATTCATCCGCTCTTTAAGGGGAACAAAGAGCAGGCTGAACTGCAGGTATGCCCACTGGGGCTACAACCACAAGAATCCCTGTCTTTTTTTTCCAGGGTAGAATAACAGAGAGATACTAAAATATTCACTTCCACGCTACAGCTCAGAGGTTGAATCAATGATGGCAGTGCAAGAATCCAGGCAATCGGGAAATTTAATTTGTAATTTTTTTTAGTTCTTGTTTGTCCTTTACAAATCAACAGAAGTGCATACACGATGCACCGGAGGCTTCATAGCTAATTCTCTTGTTCCAGCTTGGCTTCCCCTCTACCAGCATTGGGATCCCAGAGTATTTCCATACTCTATTCTGCGTTGCTCTACATTATCACAGGCAAGGCAGAATTCTGCAGATGTGCTAAATGGGAGGATGTGGTTGTGCATCACTGAAACTTCAGTCTGGTAACACTAGAAATGGTAAGAAAAAAGATGAATTTTACCCTTGGAAATTTTAAAGCGTTTCAGATAATGGTAATTCTACAGAAGTCTCCAAGCCCTCGCTTCATCTTCAGAGCTGCAGAGCAGCTGCAGCCCTCATAACCTCCAATCAGAAACTTGTGTGATCAGGCCCAAACTTCATCCCCGCAGTCAAAACCCAGACAAACACAGCTTAGTGCCCTGTCCACTCACAAAACAGAAGAAGGGCTCAAACTCCATGTCAGAGGAAGACAAATGCATTTGCACCACATTCATAAACCAAATCCAGGAAAAAGAAAATGTTTCAAAACATCACGAGGGCACAGGTCTGTTTTTATAAAAACTCCAGTTTAATCTCATGGCTGAGACCTGGCAAAACGTCTTTTTTTTTGTGGCTGTTGTTTTTCTTTCTTTTTTTAAAGCAATAAGGCACAAAGGCAAGCAAGTCCACATAGAGAACAAAGCTTAAAAAAATACAATCCATCAGAGCTAGCAGGAGAAATAATCACAAACCAGGGCCAGTGGGATGCGGACAGTCCTTTTCACAGTGTCTGACTTCCAGCCCTTCCCTTGACCTGGCAGCAAATAGTATTTCAAAGGGGACCACTGCCTGCAAGAACAAGATCTAAGGTCTGGGCCGCTGCATGGAGCCCTCAGGAAGCACTTGCCTCCTGCCATCCTTCCTTTCCAGGGCTGTTAAAGTCCTGCTCCATCTCCAGTTTAACTCAGTGGCAAGCTTTCCATTCCTTGCTTGGAGCAGAATTAGTTATCACCAAACCTTTACATTGATTAGGAGCAAGCAAAAGCTAAACCAAATTGGGACCAGCTACACCCATCCCAAGAGATTTTCTTTTTTTCTAGAGATGGAGAGAGGCAAAAGGGACAACTGCAAAACCTGGGCATGCCTGAAAGCTAACATATGCTCCAGTAGATTGTTTGCATTTTCAAGGACTGGGGAGAAGCTTGTGGTGGAAAGCTAAATCAGTTCTTGCACTCTGGTCTCCCCTGATCTCATCCCTCCTCTCCCAGGACATGATCCGGCCCAGGAAGGCAGATTCAGGCCTTCTGCCCACCACAGATTCGCCAGAACTAATTAGCTTCTCCTCTGTGGGCAAAAAGCCAGTTGATCTCACACCCTCAGTGCTACAAAAGTTGCAGCAGAAAACAGTTCCATGCATCAACCCAAGTTTCACAGGTGTGCAGGATTCTATTTAGGCAATTCCTTCGTTTTAATTACATTTTCTTTTTAATATATTTATATAGAATGTTCTTTTATATATATATATATATAAATTTAACACAATATTCACCACTACAAGCATTTCAGAATTCATAAAGAAAGGAAAAAGACTTTGATTGCACCATTTGGACTCTGGATGAGGGAAAATGTTGCAGGGCTTTATGGATGCTCTCTAATGCAGACCTAAGTTCCTCTGAAGCTCTAAAGGTGAAAAAAAGAAGTGCTTCAGTCTTTCTGAAGTGATAGCATGGGATGGACAGCCCAGAGGAATGTGGTTTATAAGGTAAAATACAATCCTCATTTCTGTTTACCCTCACGCCAATAAGGCAGCTCCTACCTGAGCTAACATTATCTGTGTTCCTCCTTTCCGTCAGGGGATTCCCATCTTTGCCAGCCCAACCATTTCACTCTGAGCTACACTTAACAGAAGCTACACAAACCCCCTGACCACATGGGAAGAATAGGTGAAATTTAGTCACTTGTCTCCCATTGGTAAAAGTGCACAAGCAACACGTGCTGGTGATACAGTATCATGACTGAGACTGGGGCCATCTGCAAAATTAGGGAGTGGCCTTGACACTCTTCACAGTCTCAAGGGACTCGAATGTACTGCAGGGTCCCTGAAATGATCCTTGCAGAGCTGCAAATGATGTGACAGTTTACTTAGGAAGGTCCTTTCCATAGTGCCAAGAACAACCGACCTGGCTCTCCCTTACACAAATCTTCAAATTCTGGGCCAGACCCATCTCCCATAAATCTGATCTATCCCTCTCCATAATGCTTCACAGGAAAGACCAAACAAACCCAAAACCAGGCAAAAACCCCAAAATCCTTTCTTAAAGTCTCTAGTGTTGCAGGGTTGTGCTGGAGGGCAGGAGTTTGGTACCCACCAGGTACCACTGCAAAACCCTGAACTTTGGAAGAGCTTCCAGTCTCAGGTTCAATCTGCTACTGCAGGGTGGCAGAGGACAACCTAAGGGCTCTGAAGCAAAGATGACATTGGGTCTGACCCTGAAGCTGACCTCAGGAATGGCTTAGTAATGTTGGATCTCAGGAAGCTCCAACCACACGGTCAGCACCACTCTGAGAGTGGCTGAGATGGCTTCTGTCTTCTGGATCTATCCAACTATCAAGCCCTGCTCCTTGAAGCTGACTGCAACTATCAGTGTCAACATGGATCCATCATCAAGCATTAGAAACTCTGCAGAAGTCTGGGTCTGGATTTGGGAATGGTGACACCTGTGCAATGGTGCACCTTGCAACTAAACAAGTACTCCCAGCTCTGCAGGATCCGGGGCTTTCTCTCATCTCTCTTGATAGAAGCCCACTTTTGACCACAGAGCTATAGTGACGTGCCTGCATTAAGCCCACTTGGCTAAGGCTCTTGGAAATTTGATACATCAGCTGAAGGCTGGAGATGCAATTGTGGGTAGAGATGGGATCAAGCTACAAAATAGAGCTCTCATTACAGAATCTCTGCGTAATTAAAATCCAGGACCTGGATCTGAGTTCAAGTTCTGAAACACCCTTAAAAAGTATCGTCTGGATACAGATTTTAGTTGAGGCTGACCTTTAATATTAAGTAAAGATTTCTAATAATTTTCTCTTGCAGGAGTTTCACCACTTATGCCAAAAGCACTATTACTTACTGGAACACTGTTAAGAGTTGAGACAGTGTATTGTATACAAATTGCCAGATCTCTTCTTGTTCATAGATCAGCTTATATGAGAACAAGGCCGGGGGGGGGAGAATGAATTTAAGGTGCCAAGGTTTCATCACATTTTCTTTTTCTTTTGATACATTACTTCATGAGCTTTGCTGGCTCTGTTCCAGATGCCTTGGCAGTCAAAGCTTCTAGGAACTGAGAGAATATAAATCCCTGCCCAAAGTAAACTATTTTGTTGATGCCAAAAAAACCTGGGCATCACTTCCACAACTTTTACTTTCTCTAAAGCCTTATCACAATACCTCATATCGCACCTTTCCAAGTCATTTGCCATTAACCCAGCCGTGATGGTTAAAAGCTTTCCCATGAGGCAGTAAAAAAGCCATTTGGGTGCCATGTAAATGCAGCAAAGAGCTGTGCTAACTATGAGGAGCATGGAGGACTGGAAATCCCCTAGTTTTAATGGGAGGCTGCACAGGCATCTTATGGTCTGGGAGGAGGATAATACAATTGTCATGTAGCTGCATATTCCAGACCTGCCGTCCATGGCTTGCTCAGGTAAAGCATAAGCTGACATCTGTGAGACAACATGGACCCAAACAAGAACTCCAAGCTCTCGTCTGGTTTAATGTTCTCCCTCAATAAAACTGACAGCACGGACTTAGTTCTCCGCTCTGTTCCCTCTTATATTGTGTTACGCACAAGTGAGGAGTACAATGGGGAGGATCAAAGACTGCAACTGGTGACAAGGAAAAGCCCTCTTGTTTTTTCACACTCCCTTTGGATATGGCAGGAGAAAATTCTGCTGAAGATATATTCCTTGCATTTGTGGGCCCAGAACTTCTCAAAAGTACTCTGGCATCTCACCCCTTTAGCAATCAAAGAGTGCAGAGGAAGCACTGTACAGACTCTGGGCCCTCCAGCCACAATGACACTAATTAAGTGACACATTCAGTACAGACCAAGAGCTCATGGGTTGAGTTTGCTAACAATTTGAAAATGCCAGTACTTCAGAAAAAAAGCCCTAAACATACATCCATTGGGAAATTCTGACTAACACTCATTGTGGTGGCTACAGCACCTCCGACCAGATGCTCAGTTACTGCTTAAACTGTAGCCCCTAATACACACCCGAGGGCCTACAGACTCAGACATCTCCATGAACGATGGCCCCTGCAAGCACCATTTCAGGGATAATCTCAGTGCTGGCAGCAGCACCTGTGTTCCCATCTCCTCCATAGTCACTAGTGACATTTAAATTGCAGAGACAACACAGGCTGTACCTGACTTTGCAATCGCCCACAGTCACATACCAGGCAATAGATGAGTCCGTGGTTAATGCAGAGTTAGAGGCTTTATAAAGGAAGCTTTAATTCTATGCCCGTGGCAGCTGTTGCTTATAAGAACGTGTATTTGCCTGTAACAATAACGGCCCTTCAGGAGAGAGTTTAATTCACTTCAGATCCCCCTCTCAGGATATTGTTCATGATCTGTTCTGCAGTCCCACAAACAATCCTCTTTACCATACTCTTAATCAATGTGAAAGCACTGAGGGCCGGGGAGGTGACAACCAGCCATGCTGTCAAAGAAACAGTGTAAAATCACAAGGAGAGGAAGTTTAAAGGAGGAAGAAGCACCTGGGGACATGCCACACAGTGGCAATGAAAGACCAAGGGTCAAAGATATGTCAGTCAGGGTGCAAGAGGGCAATAGCCCAAGGCCATGCAGATCAGAAGATCCTCTTGCTTTTCTCTGCTGTTGGCAGTGTGGAGCACAGCTGGAGATAGTTGCAGAGGTGTCATCTGGCTTTAAGCAATGATGAAAATAGTTGATACTGGCCTTTGTTATGACCATATCTTTGCTTTCATTGATACCAGCCTGAGAAGTCTCTACCGCTGGACAGTCAGCTACACACTCATTCCCCAGCCACACGGATGTTGTCTGCCCACGGCAGATGTGGCTGAGCACAACAAAACTCATGAGCAGGACTTGGAAGATTAAAAGAACAACTAGGCATTTCCTGTCCAGCTACTTTCGTTCCTTGCACATGCTGGAAAGAGCACATCTTTGATGCAAGGACAGAGCTGGAGGCAGTGCCTTCAGGTTGTATGTTTGCCACTGGAACATCCTTGGGTGTCTCACACACTGTATGACTTGCTCATGCCAGCTTCACCTTTCTCTTCAGCTATCCCCAGTCTCCTTGCACTGTTCATCTACACTGTCTAAATCAGACAACAGAAATGGATAGGCGTGGTCCTTCACTGGTGGCTGGGAAACAATGGAAGAAGGTCCCAAACATCTGGACTTACCTTCTCAACAGATGTGCCCCTGCACCCTGGGCTGCAGTGCTTTGGAACAGTGTTTCCTCCCAGCCCTATTTTCTAATTATACCGAGATTTATTTTTCCTTTTTTCCATAGGGAGGATGAGACTTTCACAGGGCTTGTTAGACAATAAGTATGAGGAAATGCAAGTTCCCTGGGACTGGCTTACAAAAAAAAGCAGACAGTGAGGGACTAGGCAGGGGTGAGAAAGGGAAGGAAAAGCAAGACAAAAAGACTATGACCCTCTGTAGCAAAATGCTTTGCAGGAAACCGTAAAGGATTCGGGTCCATCTTGCACAAAATAGTTATAAGAACAGCAAAATGGCAACAGAGTTGGTCTTGGACACTCCCATCCCATCCACCACGGAAAAGGAATAAGAGAAGCAGTTGCTACTCGATCTGCCTCCCACTTCGTCCATCCAGAATCACAGAGCGCCTCTGAGGCTGGTAAAAGCAGCTAGTAGAGGTCTCCAGTCTCTGGCCATTCTTGGGGATGGTCATTTTGTTTCGCAGCGTCACCCCCTCAGGCGTTGTCCGCGAAGTCTCAGACAGATCGCCACAAATGGGGCTTGAAGAGGTGGTGTGAGTGGGGCTCCTTATGGGTGATAACAACACCCTGGAGTCTGCTGAAGAGGAGGGATGGTCCATAATGGGGAAAGGGGGACTGAAGAGAATCAGACTCTGGGGCCTCCCGGGCCTAGACCTGTAGGAAGGCTTGGAGAACCCCGATGGCCTCTCCATCTTTGAGGACTGCGGGTTATCTCCAGCTGTCTCCCCCTCAGAGGTGCGCTTTCGGCGCAGAACAGGGGCATCCGGTGCAGGGTGATGGCTGGACTGAGATGGTTCCAGCGGAAAGCCAAGGCTGCTGTGCCAAGGACAGGCTGAGTCCTTTTGAGCTGGGTCACTGTTTTCTTTCTCTGCTTTGGCTTTCTTCTCTGTCAGTGGGCTCTTGGGGGCCTCCAGGTGGCTCCATGCCACCCGTTGAGTCTGCGTAATGGCCTGCTTGGCTTCTGATTCCTTCTTCTCAGCTGGCAGAGCAGTGTTCTGAGCTTGCAGGGGCTGGGGGATCTGAGTGTACTGAATCTTGGGCGGTATCACGGGCACTGCTCTAGCCTGGCACATCTTAATCATGAAGGAGGTCCTGACCGCCGACACGCTGACAGGGGCAGAGTTACGACGGCCAGTGGTGGCGTGGGCCACTGCCAGGTAATCCAAGTCTAAATCCACGTGGGCATTGAAACGAGACCCCCAGGGAATGCCTTTACTGGCAGCAGGGCAGGTAGTTGGCAGGGATGGGACAGAATCACTGCTTTTTACTTCCTTCTGCCCGCACAAGAGGTTCCCAGGGGCAGAGGGCATGGACAGGCTCTCAAATGTGAAGAAATCTGGGGCTGGAAGGAGCGAATCCAAGTTGAGGGATGATGGCCTAGTCTTCACTTTGCGAGGTGTTTCTTCACCTTTATTACTCAGCTGTGACTCAGTGGCAGAGCACAATGCTTTGGTAACAGTCTCTCCTTCCAGGGCAGTGTCCTGAGATATGGATAACTCCTCCTTTGTGTTCTTCACCTGTGAAGAACTGCCTGGGCTATTTTGGTACGGTAAAGACAGCTCAAGCTTTGAGCTCCAAGGGTTTTCTTTGCTCACATCCACTTTCTTTTCCTCTGGCTCTGAAAGAGGGATTCCGGAGGGTCCTTCTTTCTCAGCTGGTGCTTCCTCCCTGCTGAGGGGGTACCTCAGCTCCTCAGGTTTCAAAGGTTCTTCTGGAGGACTTGTGCCATTCTCACCTTGCTTAGTTTTGCCCAAACTAGAGGGGGAGATGGGTTGTGTTTTGGGAAGCTCACAAGTCACTGGCAGAATGTCACTGCATGGTTGCTGCTGGTCAGTGGCATCTATGAAAGAGAATGGGATAGTCCACAGACTCATCACTGTGTCTTTACTGTCCAGGGAGAGGCTGCGACTGAATCGTGGTCTAAGAGAAAGGCCTGTCTCTGCTCTCTGGCTCTGTGGCTGAAACTCCTGTATCATCTTCTCCTGAAGGTCCTTAAAGGTGGGGGAATGGAGTGGGCTTGTAACCCACTGGTGATCCTCCCATGGCTCCACAAGTTCTAAGCTCTGCACATTATCTGTCCAGGTATCCTCGTCATCCTGGTCACCAGCATCATGGGTTCTGCTAACAGCATTGCCCTCCTTCAGCTCCTGGATTCCAGCTCCACTCAGCGCCTTGGAGGAGAAAGTGTCCCTTTCATCAGCAGTCGTTATCTCAGGCTTCTCCCTCTGAGTTTGGACTCTGGTAAGACCATCCTTTTCCCTCTGCAGCTGGCAAGTGCTATCTTTTTCTCTCCCTGACTCTGTACATGCTCCTTTGGAACAAGAAAATTCATCACTTGGGGCAACCTCATTAAATTCTGATTGACTATGAAGCTTCCAGTCCAGGGGAGGAGTGAGACATTCACTCCTGCTGTCCACCACTGGGTGGTGGTTCTTTGGAGCAGCTGTGCCAGTCGGAAGAGTACCCAGTTTGGGTAGGGCTGAAGCACAGCTCTGCTGTGCAACCACATCAGACTGGCAGTTGTGGAGGCTGTCTTGTCGTTCCATGCCGGTGGCACTAAATAAAGGCACCTGAGTTGTTATCTGTGGTGTTCTGCTTGCAGATTTCTGCTCAGACAGTGTTGGACTCTGCCCTGGGCCAGAAGAAGAACTATCTGATTGTACTGAAGAAGAAGATTCAGAAATTAGGGCTGTCTTGGAGACAGCTGCTGGCAAGAGCAAGAGCTCCTCTTCAGGTTCGATAATTTTCAGTTCCTGCTGTATCTCTGGCCACAGCGGTTCTAGATGGGCATTTGCAGGGTCCTCCTCAGTCTGAAAAACAGAAGAAATGCCATGACCTGGCAGCTCACAACTTACCAGTAAATACCCCTCCATTTTCCTCAAACAGCCCTCTTAGAATAGACAGGCTCCTGGATGAGCACACTCATGGGTACAGAAACACAGACACGCATACTGCTACCAGTTCAAGGAAGGAAATACGTCTATAAACAAGTGGGTTTATGGAGCAGAAGATCCGAGGTGCAGCCAAAATGAGGCCTGGACAGATGTACTGAAAGAGTGAGGTGAATGAGTAGCTGGAATGTCTCAGCCTGTTTCTCAGCTCTTCCCATTCAGGCTCGCTTGGCCTTGCCAGGGGATCTGCATTCCCAAATTGCACACGAACTGGAATGAATAATCTATTCAAGGAGCTATGCCAACAGATCTTTAAATAGCTGTCCAGAGATGAGTATCGCTGTAAGAAACTTGGTGAAAAAGCTCTGCTAGAGATACAGGGGAGGCAAAAATAATAATTAAAAAAAAACGGTGTGTAGAGAATGGAAGAAAAAAGGACTGTTCAGGCTGTCCAGGACAAATGGGACAGCAAAAATAGAAGGGGAATTCAGAGACAGTAGGTCAAAATGCTCAGACATCCGGACAGCCTCACATCTGGAGAGTCTTAGAGCAGACAGATTGTACTGACTGCAATTGTATAGTTACAGGAAAAGAAGACCAAAAGGGGACAGTAGGTAGTTGTGTAAAGGTAAATCACCACATGGTGACATGGTGACAGAAGTTAAATCAGTACATGGTCAATTCTTGACCCTGCTTAGCCTAGGTCATAGACGGAGTTTTCGTGACTGTGGACACACAATGAAACTTCAAACAACCTCCCAGTCACTACCATGACATTGTCCCCCATCTTTTTTTTTCATGCCTTCTTCCTTACCACAGCTCTTAAGCGCGACCCTTCTTCTGTCTTAGCCGTCTCAATCTCCTGCTGGCCACAGCTGCCTTCTGAGGAGACATCCTTCGTCTTGAGCTGTCCTTGCTCTGCCTTGTCTGCAGTGAGCAGCCCCATATGAACCTCTGAGGCTGGCGTTTGTTCCAAGGTGGGACTCTGCTCTGAGGCCTGCTGGGGGCTGCTGGTGCTGCTTGTGCAGCTGCTTTGCCCACATAACGTCTCCTGATTTTCTGCTGGTAGCTGTGGAGTTTCTAAGGACTCAGGTTTCCTGGCTGCCACCAGCTCCTCAGGGTGAGAGCCTGGATCAGAAACACAAATGAATGATGTAACTATTTGTGACTGAAAACGTGTGCCCTGAGACAAAGCCATCTGTTTCAACCCAATGCCAACTAACAAAGCTAAAGAGCTCCCTCCAGGCACACCAGGACATTGCTGGGAGGCCACCCACCTCCCCAGTCTCATTACTGCAACAAGCACCAACCTGACCTGCTACTGTCAACACCCAGCCTGCTACAGCTTCATCTCTTTCCTGCCACAAGAGCAGGCTGGTGCAACCTCCATGCCACCGAGCTGCAGGGCACCTCCAGTAGCCCGACAGAGGCTCTGCATCCTCCTCCTTAACATACTTTTACCTCTAGATGCTTCCGCTGGCAGAGTGGGCCCTGGCTGTTTCTCCTTCCGCTCCGGTGCTTGCTCTGTCCTCGTGTGCATCCCCGCTTCCAGGGCAGAGGGGCTCGTGCTCTCAGCCACTAGTGAAGACAGCTCCTCTAGGCTGGAGAGGGAAAGCTTCTCCTTGGCAGGTACGCGGCAGGGGGTGCTGTTGGTGCTGATGACAGCAGACACCCGGAGGGGGACAGAGACAGCAAAGGGCTCTGAGATGTTCAGGGCT